ACACTCCAAAAATTGCCTGTTTTAGGCTGAACTCTCTGAAGTAAGTAGGCAGCTGATTTTGTCCTGGCCCATCAGCCATCACAGCTGTTCAAATGCTTATGTGCTTAGGGTTTCTACTTATTGAATTTCATAGTATGTCCATTTTGTGTGTATGTGTAATTCAGAAACTATTAAGCTAATTTGTAGATTACCAAATGTGTTGAAGCCTTTTCTTTCCTATTCACCATTTAGCCAATGTTTTCCCCTGTGAGAACAGACAGGATCAAAGAAGAATTAAACTCAAATTTAACAGACACTTCTTGTTAGCTGTTTTTAAAGACAATTCACACCACTTTATAAAATCAGATATTTAAGATTTGGATCAGATATTTGGGGATGCGGAGGCTATACTTTTTAGATTTCTTCTCCCTTCTTGTTACATAAAGCCCCAGATTGATTTTTTATTTGTTCTTTTTTTCTTGGTCAGGGGGTTGGTGGTGAGTTCTACAAAATTGGTCGGTTTCAATGTCAGGGAATGAAGAGGAAGCAATATGACAGTCTGGTGACTGGGAAACAGAACCTACAAGTCTGCACTGCAAATTCCCCTTCATGCACTGACTAGGTGCAATTTGCTGTGTTGCTGCATGCAATGATCTGTACCAATGACACTGGTAAGGGGGAAGTAGAAATAGAAATGAGAACATATAACTTTCATGAAAGGAAGAATATAACTGAAATGAGAAATTCCCTGTTGCAGGGACCATGATCTAGAGAGAGTTGTGCAATCCCAGGCCAACAAGCAAATCTTTACCAAAAACACACATACGTCTTCTACTACATCTGATTATGGCCCTTGGAAAAACCACACCTATGGCTTCTTTATCTTGCTGGAAGTGTTAATATCACCATCATACTTTATTCCTTCCTTCAGTTTTTCCAGTTTGTTTACTAGCAATATGTGAATTTTTCACTTAGGAAACACATTTCCTTATGGTACTTATGAAAACAGGTGCCTGAAGGAGGCCTAACAAGTTTGCAGCTTCCACTGCCCTTGCCGGGGCAAGGGATACCAGCATTCCCGTCTTACGTTCAGCTCCTCAACCATACTGGGAATTTGCTTCAGCTGAAACATTTTTTTTCCTGCTTTGATAAGTTTGACTTTGAGAGTCTGCATGGAACATTTAAAGATGTACTAGCACCACTGGGTTTCCTTATTCTACTTCTCAGATTTTAGAAAATCTTTCTCTATAATTCCTGGGTAGTTGCAGTGGTTTTGTGAAACGATGTCATCCATGGCAGCTGAAGGATTCAAAAGGCAACTGCTGGGTAGCAGCAGCAGGGCCATCCCCGATGACCTCCAGGCCTCCACCATCATCATATATATCCACTTCTGCTTAGCCACACTTTTTCCTATTTTTTTTTTTCCTACTAAGTTGCTACTTCTTGAGTTAAAATCCATACAGGACATCTCCTAACCTGATTTTTAACACTTCACAGGCTGGATGCTTTGTACCTAACATGTCTAAATAATGCTTCAGTGTAACATGTGATATACTTGTGTGCTCAACACTTATTGCCAATTGCTCATGCAAAAATCTGAACTGCTGTCAAACGGTGCCCTCAGATTTCATGAATCTTGGGTAGGAAGGGACTAGGAAGGGACAAAGTTACTTGTATGTTAAAGTTTCTCCGATTTGTACCAGTAAGTCAGGTATGAGTGCCTGGTTAAACACAGGATAAGCAATCCTGGCCACTCTCTTTTCTAGTTCAGGAGGAGCTGTGTCTACAACAGTCACTTAAAGCAGGTCCACTTACCTGTAGTGCTCAAGTTGCATAGTGTTATCCCAACCACCACCTCTCTGTGAAAAGTTCAGGAACAACTGTTGCATTGAACATAATCTCAACTGCATTTTAGAGGGATCATTTTAGAGACCTCCAGATTAGTTTAGATGGACTACCTTGAACAAACTCTTGCTAATGTTTACTGAGCATTTACCTGAGTTAGAAATAAAGGCTGGGGCTGGGTGTGGTGGCTCAAGCCTGTAATCCCAGCACTTTGGGAGGCTGAGGTGAGGGGATTGCCTGAGCCCATGGGTTCTGCAACTTGGGCAACAGCCTAAGTTGGTGAGACCTATCTCTACAATAAATCAAAAAATTAGCAGGACATGGTAGTGCGTGCTTGTAGTTCTGGCCCCTTGGAAGGTTGAGGTGGAAGGATCACCTGAGCCCAGCAGGTCAATGCTGGAATGGTCTTGAGTTTGCCACTGCATTTCAACCTGGGCCATGGAGTGAGACTCTAACTCAAAAAAAGGAAAAAAAAAAAAAAAGAAAGAAAGAAAAAAAAAAGAAATAAAGGCTGGGTCAACATTGGGCATCCCAGGTATATAATACAGGGTTCAAACAGGGTAATAATAACGGAGATTCTGCCGTGATGTCTTAAAACATTAATGTAATACATTTGACTAGTGACACTAGGTTTCTCCAACAGAGGCAGGAAAACCTTGCTCTTTAGAAGTAGGTATTTTACTATAGAGTTTTAGTCTGTTCACTAGAATGAAATCCAAAATGGGCTGCATTTGTTTCATTCTCAGGTTCAATGTTTTCACTCGTTATTCTTCAGCATTGGTTCTGTAAGAAGATGTCCTTGAAGGGTTATATGGCCATAGTGACAGCCCTGCTGTGATTTCTCATGAGCATCCTACTTAGGGACCTGAAGTGACTGCAGTGAATCCAGTGGAAGCTTCCTGCTGCTTCCTCCCATCAAGTCTTTAAAAATCTAGACTTCTGCTGGTCTTGCTCACCTCAGAGCCGACTTCCATGGCATGGGCAAACAGGCACTTTTCTTCTTCATGGTAACACTAGAAGAAATGCCATGGAGTGCAGGATGGCTGTAAATGGAATTTGTTCTAAATCAGTGAATTCCCTTGACTTTCTTCAGAGTGAAGTGAAAACGAAGAGAAACTGTATAAAGAGGCAGTATAAATAACTTCTTGCTCACAAGCAACTTCAAGCCTTTTTAGTCATGTGAGTTCCTTACTGGCCTATTTGGCTTGTCTCATTCCTTTATTGTGAATTAAAAAAAAAATCCAACCACGTTACCAAATTCCTTTCATTTGAACCATTAGGAGAGGCAGTTAGCACCTACATGAATATGGCTTCTGTGGCTTGATTGGAGCCTATGTGTTGATAACCAAGGGTGGTATTATATTAGGATATGGTGCTTTCATTTGCTCAATCTATTAAGAGTGTCCCGGAGGGGGCTGATGGCTGGCAGTCAGATCCTGGGATGATACTCAGGCACTAGTCAAGTTCAAAGGTTCTGGAAAGATGCTGGGACAAGGGGGCGTGTCACATGTGGCAGCTGGATGGCGGAAGGATTTAAATTCTTGCTCATCTCTAGAAAGTCCTCCATCAATTAGAGGAGAAAGCTTAGGCCTCTCTTCCTTCATCTTCAGTCTTTTTTTCTTCTCTTACAAGATTGATTCAAAGAATGGTAGCTTAAGGGCAAAAATATCAGGAAGAGGTCCGAGGTGGTTTCACTATATGACTTGAGGTCAGGGCCCTAAAAGCGGCCTATGCATGCTATTGCACTTGAAGTTTAATATGAAAGTAATCATCTTTTTTCCCCCATTTTGATGGAAAGAGCTTTTTCCTGCCCTTAGTTTTTTCAACATCAAAGACTCCTGCTTCACCCTAGTCCACATGCCAGCAAAGGTCATGATAAGAGGCCATGCTGCGTTTACTCGTCTGTCTGGAAACTGCCTCCTGGGGATGGTGGTAGACGTCCAGCTGCACAGTCAGAGAACATGATGTAGAACTCAGCTGCATGTCAACATGATGTTGCCCATTCACAAACAGTCCTAAACGTGAAAGCTGCTCTGCCACTGGGTTGCCTCACCAAGTTGGTGCTCTGAACCCAAGGCTGTCTGCACAGGTGTTACCATATAGCCTCTGGGAGCTGGGGGTGGAATCTCTGCTGGCCCAGGAAACCATAATGGATGGATAAAAAAAGAATGAGCCTTACTCAGTCGCTAATGTCAACTCCCTGTTCTCCAGGATGAAGTTTTGGTGATTTATCTCCCTCCCCAGACATGTACAATTCCATTTTCTCTCCTTTCCATTACATGAACAACAACAAAATCATTTCTCTAGTCTGTGAAAGACATAGTCTTGGACCGCTTAAAAATTCATTTTGTTAAGTTGCAACACTTTTGTTGAGAAAAATCCTGCAGGATCTTACTGCAACATGATCAGGATTAAGAGCAATAATCCAAACAGCAGTGTGTAAAGACTAAGGCTACAACTCTCCCAGGGCAACTGTCATAAAATGTCCTCCTCTTCTGTGACAAGGTGACCTAAACATAGCTTGGGTTGTGAAGCTTCAAATCTCAGCTTGAAAACATTTAAAAATCTTCGTATTTCTTCTGGTCTTATAACCAATTGAATTTTGGACCCCTATAAGAAACAATTGTCAAATATCCTACAATGTTCCCTTATATAGCCTTTCTTTGTTCCTGTGGCTTAACAGGAATTTCTTAAAGAAGGCACTGGGAGGTCTCTGCAGAGGGCCTCAGAAAGGGATCTCAGAAAGGGATAAGCGAAACAAACATTTATTTATTAACTAATTTTTTTTTTTTTTTTGAGCCAGAGTCTCACTCTGTCGCCCAGGCTGGAGTGCAGTGGCATGCTGCTCACTGCCACTGCAGCCTTGACCTGCTGGGCTCAGGTGATCCTTTCATCCCAGCCTTCCAAGTAGCTGGAATTACTAGTACATGCCACCAGGCCCGGCTAATTTTTCTTGATTTATTGTAGAGATGAGGTCTTGCCAAGTTGTCAAGGCTGGTCTCGAACCCTTGGGCTCAGGCAATCCTCTCACCTCGGCCTCCCAAAATGCTGGGATTACAGGTGTGAGCCACCACACCCAGCCAAAATAAACATTTAGTAACACATCTTTCAATAACTTCTTGTAGCACTGGAATCACATGGAATATGCAAGGTCCTCTGTTTCCACTGTCATCATTTTTCATGGGTCTTTATCTTAATTGGTGGTCACACTGGCTTCCTTCTGACGCAGTCTTTCTTTCTGTTAAGGAAAAAAACTGTAATTATTTCATTTTTCAGATTTTGATACATTTTTCAACTTTTGTTCTACAATGCCAAGTAGAATTGTACCGAACACTAGAAATGACAGTATCTCTAGCCCTCCTTTCCCAAGCCCTCAGTTACTTGCCCCTCCCTATCTATTACCCTTACTCCTCCGAGAACAAATAAGAAATCAACAACGAGTCAGTCAACCAACTACATCCATCTAGAATACAGATCTTTACTGTGCCAGGCTGGTCTGTTCTGCCCTCTTCTTTTGTGGCCAAGACCCTGACTTTGTAGTGTCATTCAAAGACTCCTCCCATTTCCACCCTCGATCCGCTGATGGAACTAGGGAATGTTCTCAAAATCATTTTTAGGGAGGCTGGATATTAAAGAAAAAACCCCACTGTTTCCTAGTTGAAAGTATCCACAAAAAATCAACTCGGCAGAACTGAACAAAAGCGATGCAAAATGGAAGATGAGCAGAGGTAGTCTCTGCAGAATGGTGGAAGCTCCCATTCTGCCATGGATATTCTGCTCTGCCTCCTTGAGAGTTCTCCTCAGAAGCAGCAGCCTTCTAAAGGGGGAAGGTCATGGAAATCTGCCAGAAAGATGTGCAAATAAACAAGAGCATAAGATACAGAAACAGGGCCCTCACTGTTTCTGTGACACTAGAGAAGTAAACATAAGAAGTGTGGTCAGGATGGGAGTGTCTGCTCCTATGGGCCGGCAAATAGAAGGTTAGAAAGGAAAAGGGAAAAGTGTACTTTTTTAGAAAGAGCAGACACCGAGAGAAGCCCTTTGAGAACTGACCTTTAGCAGCCTGTGATCTATGAAGTATGACATGCAGGGAATTACTAAATTGGCCTAGATGTAAATTTAAGTTGATGATTTTTAGACACCCATCCTGAGTTTAGACCCCATCCCTGACTTGTAAAACTGAATCAGGAATCAGTTTACAAGCTCCTCCCTTGAAATCTCAGCTGTGTAAAAAATGTAAACATCTTGGCATTTCTTCTGGTCTTGAAACAGAGTGGTCTTTGGACCCCTGTAAGAAACAACTGTCAAATATTTCTGCAGTGTTCCCTTACATAGTATACACTGCTACCCACCCAGCCACAAAGAGACAAACAAAATAGGCAGTCCTAGTAAGTTGAGAATCCCAATCCGGACCTTGCTCATGGTCAAGGTCAACCTAGGAAAGATGTTACAGGAAACTCTTATTTCTTCTTTGTCTTACAGGGCGGAATCTATTCTCTCTGCCATGTTTGGCTATAAACGTCCGGACGGAGGACCAAATAAAAGGCCTGGAAAAAGGGGCAGAGACTGATAAAGGAGAAAGATAAAAATCAGGGTTGAGCCCACTGCCACAGAAAATCATGTAAATGAGGGGCACAGAGGACGTGTCCATTTAGTTATTTACCCTAACCACAGCTTTAGCCCTGACTACTCCATTTCTCACTTATCAACCTCATGCAACATTTAGTTAGCTGCTGATGGGGTTGTTATGAGAAATACCAAGGTCAATCAACAGAAATAATTGCACTTTATAACTTAGACCCTGCTGAGATTTTCAAAGAATTTAAAACATCCGGCAAAAAGTACTTGTAATCCGAAAGGACAAAGTAAGTAGCTGTGGGACATCAGGGTCCAGAGAAGGTAGGGTTTGAAAACCCAAGGGAGGGCAATAATAATCCCACTTCCAACTCATTCCAGTTCCCCATTGCAGGGTCAAACGAAGCTGCTGGAATTCAAAGTAACAAGAAAAACAGTTAACATTTATTGAGCTCTTATTATGTGCCAGGCACTTGACATGTCTTTTCTCAGTTTCCACAATGGAAGCCTAGAACAAAAGTAGTATTATTTTCCTGTTTTCACTGAACAGAAAGAAGCAAAGTAACTTTACTGAGATTTTACAACATTCATTTGGATTTGAAGCCAGATAGTTTCACCCTTAACATCCAGGGTTCCTAATCATTTAGCTATTCTGCCTATTGTCTGTAACATCTAGGTGGAGAGTCATTGTGATTGCTACTAAAAATTGGACTTTGGAGGACAACGTTATCTCAGACCTAGGAAGACTGGGGAGACTGCTGGTTTCTAGCACGAGCAGAGATGTCAGGAGAACCAGAGTTTGGTCTTGGTTTTTGCTATTCATTTGCCGAGTAGCCCTGGGTAGGCTGTATCTTCCTGCGTCCCAATTTTCCCAACTAACAAAATAGGATAATCCCTGTTCCTTTCTTTAATGGGGAAAAGGAACTGAAGAGAGTGAATGCACTTAAACATTACCTTGGAAAAAAATACCTTGGGATAAGGGGGATCATGGGACGAGTGGGATGAGGAAGGATACAAAATGGCAAGTGATGAAATTTGGTGTATTTATTTATTTTGTTTGTTCTTTTTGAGTTGGAGTCTCACTCTGTCGCCCAGACTGGAGTGCAGTGGCTACTCCCAGCCACCTCAGCTTCGACCTGCTGGCTCCGGCGATCCTTCCGCCTCAGCCTTCCGAATAGCCGGGATTACAGGCATGTGCTACCATGCCCAGTTGATTTTTTGATTTATTGTAGAGATGAGGTCTCGCTGCCCAGGCGGGTCTCGAACCCACGGGTTCAGGCAATCCACTCACCTCAGCCTCCCTAGGCGCGGGATTACAGGCTGAGCCACCGAGCCCGGCTGAAATTTGGTTCATTAGAGATGACCTATGTTGAGTGTGCAGGAAAAACATACAAAGCTATGTTTTGCTCCTCTACCTGCATACACATTTTTAAAAAACAATATGCTACTCTGGGATGGGAACTGAGAATCTGGATAATGTGTTTCAACTCAGTTTTATCTCTTAAATTGAGACACATTCCTGGGTGCACCTCAGTTATAATGAAAAATTTGTGGGTTATGTTGGAAAATGTGTCTTACCAGGCTAGCAGTGGGATTGATTTTCTTTGTTTCCACTTTCTTCTCTGATGTCAACTTGCTGATGGATTCCTGAGCCATTTTCAACCTGAAATAGAAATAAGGAGCAGAGAGGCGAGAGGAAAAAAAGAAAGGAAGAGGGACAAGGAAAGAAGAGAAAGGAAGTCAGGTTAAAAAGAAATCCAAATGCTTCTGAATTAACAAACAGGCAAGTTTGAAAATACAGAATAACTTTTCAATGTTTTTCATTTTTAAATTCAAAAATCTAATTAAGTGGGGAGACTTCTCCTCTATTTCATCAAAACTTTATAAATTTTCACCAGCTGAGAAGCTCACCTAGATGACCTTGGGAAGTCTGCATTTGTGAACAATGTGATAGAGTTTCTGATGGATGGAAAACTATGGGTACATATTATTTATAGCAATGCTATCAGGCTTGTGATCTATCCAGCAGATAATACTGAGACAATTTTGAAAACTGAAGTTTTGAAGAAAGCTATGCAACTACAAATATTAAAATCCACCAATTCACATCAATTAAGTGAAAAGACAACATACAGAGTGGGGAAAAGTATTTGTAAATCATATGCCTATCAGATGTATATGTCTGTTATCAAGAGGCTTATATCCAGAATACATGAAGAATATTTACAACTCAAATAAAAAAGACAAATTATACCCTCTCCTCTAAAAATGGGCAAAGGATTTGAATAGACATTTCTCCAAATGACAGACATATGAAACGGAACACAAAGAAAAGCCAGAATTATTTTTTGGAGGGTGGGCCCCTTGTAGTACAGGCTTCCCCTGTTAGGTAAGTATTCTAAGAACCCTTTGGCATCAGTGTACCAGCCAGTGTTGTTGTGAGAGACTGTGGTGTCCAGCTTCAGAGAGTATTCTTTTAACACATTTGCTCATTTCATGATGGTGATTTACAAATGCACCTACCTACAACGTGTTGTGTGTTCTGCAGTTTTTGACCAAAAATGGCATGCCCCCTAGGCCCAACCTCCCTATTTACCCAATCTCACCCTATTTACTCTGAATGACTTTTTTTTCTGTTTCCTGGGTTTAAAAAAAAAAGTCCTTGAAGGGAAACATTTTGCAAATATGGAAGAGGCAAAACAAGCAAACAAAAAATGGCAGAGGCACTAAAAGGCATAAAAATTGACGAGTTCAAAAACGGGTTTGAGCAGTGGAAAAAGCATCTCAATACATCAAATGGAAAGAACTTTGAGGGGACTGAAGTTGAAACATGTAAGTATAAATACACAATTTTTTAATACATAAATCCCAGGTTTTGGGGGGTCCCCCCCTTGTACAAATGGTCAATAAGCATATGAAAATTTGCTCAACACCATTAAACATCGGGAAATGTAAATCAAAACAACAATGAAATACCACTTCACATCCATTAGGATGGCAGAATCAAAATGAAAGGCAATGACAAGAACTGGAGATGAGAATGTAGAGACATTAGAACCCTCATACACTGCTCCTGGGATTATAAAATGGTACAGTCACTTTGAAAAACAGTTTGACATTTTCTGAAAATGTTAAAGAGTTACCACATGGCCCAGCAATTCCACTGCTAGGTATATAAATATATGTATGTAGCGCGCGCCTGTAATTCCGGTTACTCGGAAGGCTGAGGCAGAAGAATCGCCGGAGCCCAGCAGGTCGAGGCTGCGGTGGCCGGGAGCGGCCACTGCACTCCAGTCTGGGCAACAGAATGAGACTCCAATTCAAAAAAAAAAATTACATATATATAACCAAGAAAATGGAAAACCAGTGTTATTTGAAAATTTGCATATGAATGTTTTTAGCAGCATTACTCATAATAGCGAAGAGCAGAAACAACCCCAATTTCCATCAACTGCTGGATGGGTAAACAAAATGTGGCATATTCATATAATGGAATATTGCTGAGTCATAAAAGAAATGAGGTGCTGATACATGCTGTAGCATGGGTGAACCTCAAAAAATTATGTTAAGTGAAAGAAGCAAGTCACAAAAATATGACTGATTCCATTGATGTGAAGTAACCAGAGTAAGCAAATATAAAGTAGATTTAAAGCAATGCCACAGGCTGGCAGTTGCGGAAAATGGGGAGTAACTGCTAATGGTTAAGGGATTTCCTCTAAAATTAGAAAGTGGCAATGGCACATCTTTGTATGTATACTAAAATCACTGTGCATTGAAGTGATACTAAAGTCCTACTGAAGTGTAGGGTGAATTTTACATTACGTAAATTCTATCTCAATAAAGTTGTTATAAAACATTTCCCAATTCAACAACGTGATAGTATTTCTTACCTATCAGTTTGGCAAACCTATTAGACAGTATGAACTGTCTGTCAGGATATGGGGAAATGGGAACTGCCACACAGAGTGCTAGGGACTATAAATGGGTGCGGCTTGCTTTGGCAATATGAAATAAAACTGAAAGCATGTGCACGCTAAGAGTCATCAATTTCTCTTGTAGGGAGATACCCAAAAGAAACTTTCAACTTAGACACAGGGCTTTCACTGTGGCAATACATGCAAAAGTGAAATACTAGAGACAACTTGATGAATAGGTTCAATAGGTGATAGACATATAAATTAGCAAATAATAACTAATGCTTATTGGGTACTTAATCAGTGCCAGGTGCTGCTCTACTTGCTTTATTTGAATTAAACCACTTAATTTTCATGACAACCCTGTGAGATAGAAAATTTTATTAGTCCCATTTTACAGATCACCATCATGCAATGTGCAATGTTACTTATGATTGTATTCATTCAGTGCAATATGACACAACAGTGAGAAGGAATGAGTTCGATCTGCGAATTCAACAATCACAGGTATCAGAAAAAGTGAAGAATCCTGCAGAGCGACAATCTTGAAAAGTGAAGAATGCTGCAGAGCGACACCATAAAGGGGTTATTCAGCATGGTGGTCAAGAGCTCCAGAGCTGGACCGCAGAATTCATTCTCAGCCTCATAACTTATTAGCTGTGTGACCCTGCCCAAGAGAACTCTCTGTGTGTCTTGATTTCCCAAAGGAGAAAAAAGACTAAGTGCCTGCTACATAGAATCATTGAATGGATTAAGATAGTTCAGTTCCCGGCACATGGCAGTCACTCAATAGATGGTAACTACTATTGTTACTGACGTGCAGTATGCTATATTGTATATGTTTTAAAATTGTATCAACAAAACAATATTATTCGCAGATGTATGCATGTATATGTAAATATACGTACTAATATTTATTTATACTTATATACCAACACACACACATATCCACACATGTAAAATTATTCCAAATAGACTGGAAGAATACTTGCTAATTTCATGGTAGAGGTTATTGCTCAAAAGATAAGGGAAGATAATGGAACTCGGGGTAGTATATCATATAGAATTTCATTTTTATCTATAGTGCTTCATTTTTTTAAAATTAGAAAACTTAATGTGTGACAACTGTTAACAGTTTTAATTCTAGGTGGTGGGAACATAACTGTGTGATGTTATCTTTTGTAGTTTTATTTTTGAAATTTCTTCAAAAATATCTTTTTTTTTTAAGTTGGAGTCTCATTCACTCTGTCGCCCAGGCTGGAGTGCAGTGTCACAGCCACTCCAGCGTCAATCTGCTGGGCTCCAGCAATCCTTGTGTCTCAGCCTTCCAAGTAGCTGCAACTACAGGCACATGCTACCATGCCTGGCTAATTTTTTTTTTTTTTTTTTTTGAGTTGGAGTCTCACTCTGTCGCCCAAGCTGGAGTGCAGTGGCACACTCATGGCCACCGCAGTCTTGACCTTATGGGCTTAGGTGAACCTTCCACCTCAGCCTTACAAGTAGCTAGAACTATAGGCGTGCGCTACCATTCCCTGCTTATTTTTTGATTTATTGTAGAGATGAGGTCTCACCAAGTTGCCGAGGTGGGTCTCAAACCCCCAGGCTCAGGCAATCCTGTCGCCTCGGCCTCCCAAAGTGCTGAGATTACAGGTTGAGACACCATGTCTGGCCTCAGCTAATTTTTGATTTATTGTAGAGACAAGGTCTTGCCAAGTTGCCTAGGCTGGTCTCGAACCTGCAGGCTCAGGCAATCCACTCTCCTCAGCCTCCCAAAGTGCTGGGATTACAGGTTGAGCCACTGAGCCCGACCCAAAAATATCTTAAAATGGTTAAGTATTTAAAGATCCATGAGCTGAGAGACATTTAAAAAATTAACATGTCTTTTCTTTCGGACCTTAAATGAAAATTTGGGGCTCAATATTATTCATACACTTCTTGGCCTCTACAAGTGACTGAGTGGCTTAGCTCTTTACTTCGTTAATTTTACTCAATTTGCTTAAAACACACACTTAGTAATCTCATTTCTCTGCCCACATGCACACGCTAGTTACAGTGAATTCAACATGCTGCCTTGTGCATTAGAAAATGAATAAAAATGAGACACAGATGAGCAATTATTCCTATAACTCAAAAAGAAATACATTTGTAAAGTTGCCCCGAGGATGGGCATTTCTCAATACTGACACGGGTCTTTGTGTATACACCACACTGCCTACTAAACTTTTCCATTTGCAGCAATAACTGTGACTACACCCACACAAGAAAAGAACGCACTAAAAGGATCAAATTCAGGTCAGACTACATGGGAGACTCTGACTATAAAGAGTTTGGCAACCAAGACAATGGTGTCGTCACTGAAGCCACAGCTTGCAGTATTTACTCTTCCTGGCTTCTATCTAGCCACTCTTCACAAAAGGTTCCTACTAGTGACCCTTTGATCCCAATTCCAATGGAATGGTTAGAAATGACTATTTCTCTCAGAGCCCCTAACTTAAAATGAACTCTCTTGGGTCAATTTTGCTTCAGTACTTCCTTTTTTTTTTTTGAGTCGGAGTCTAACTCTGTCGCCCAGGCTGGAGTGCAATGGCACGCTCACAGTTACCCCAGCATCAACCTGCTGAGATCAGGTCATCCTTCTGCCTCAGCCTTCCAAGTAGCCTAAACCTAAATTACAGGAACATGCTACCGTGCCCGGGTAATTTTTTGATTTATTGTAGGGACGAGGTCTCACCAAGTTGCCCAGGCTGGT